AAGCAGTGGTATCAACGCAGAGTACTCCTACTTTTGCCTGCTCTTTTCGCGTATTTGTTGAACAACTCACCCAGTTGTCTTCATAGCTAAACATTAACAGAAGCCGTGCTATTGATCCATGGTTATTGCAGGCCTCCATCTGTAGGAACTGCCCAGTTACGAGCTCACGAAGTCATGTTCTCATGAATTATGCACAAAATTTGAAGATCGCCCACTTTGTCCAAATATGGTCCTGGTTGGATGTATAACACGCTATTTGCAAATGATTTTTACTCTGCTCAAGAACTTCTACTGTAAAAGGCAGATAATCGACGTATACAATATTTGAATTTCAGAAAATATTTTTGAGAACGTGATTTCGTGAGCTCGTAACTGGGCAGTTCTTACAAATGGAGGCCTGCAATAATCTGGATCAATAGCACGGCTTCTGTTAATGTTTAGCTATGAAGACAACTGGGTGAGTTGTTCAACAAATACGCGAAAAGAGCAGGCAAAAGTAGGATCTTGCCTGGTTTCGAGACAGCTCACCCGGTTTAACTCTGCTAAAAAAAACTTACTGCACAAATAGCACTGTTTTCGTAATCAGCGAGATCGAAAACCCCTGTGGGCGAAGTTTCCGGCCAATCCATGATCATCAATATTTTGGCCAAAACCCGTCGGCGAACTTCAGAGCCCAGAACGAGAAAAAACAAAGGGCCCGAATTCGTCGGAAAACTTGCGCATAGAGGTTATTTGACCTGCTGATCACGAAAAACACACCTGCTTTGCAAATTAGCGCCTTACTGTATGGTTAGGTAGCTAAAATTTGAAAGACATAGATTTTTCCAAAATTCGTCGACCTATCTTTCTCTGTGGAAAAGGGATCCTCCGCTGCTCGCTAACGCATAATAATCTACGGAAACAGCTCTACTGGACCATGTTTACTAGAATCTTCCTTGTGTGTTCTTCGCTGAGTTACACCGCTACGAACACCCGTCCTCACACAAAAATCGAGCAAATTGAAAACGGACCGGTAAGGGAGCGTAGTATATCAGAAGGTTCATTTTGACGAGCTGAACATCATGCTTTCGTCGGATTCCTAGTTTATGCAATTTGAAGAAAGTTATGAACAAAGGACGAAAAAAAACGCTGATCGTCAGTTTTTGCGTTTTCTGCCGAAAAATTAGTGTGGGTACTGTAGTTTGCGCGATTCGCGTGATTCCGCAGAAAACCCGGAATGTTTAAAACTCCCAGAACGCTGCGGACTTTCGCAAAACCTCCGAAATCACGACAACAAAGAAAATCTGCACATTCTGTGAGCTATTGTAGATAGCAAAAAATAGAGTAGAGCATAGGAGAGTTCATAAAAACTTTGGTACGGGGGCAACCGCCCATGTACACGCATCGTTCACGGGCGTGTGGACTCTGGTGAAAAGATGCTCGAGCACGCCGTTTGTGCCGTTTCGCACCTTAGACCGATCGCCTTCGTGGATCTGGGTCTGTATGTCCACACGCAGAAAACAGAATTGTTCAGCTCATCGTTGAAACTCTTGTTGACAGGCGACTCGGTTCATTCGCAATTTATAGAGCGGTGGATTTTTCTGAAGAAAGAGCAACGTTTCTAAAGAGACGGTGTCATGCTCATAGCGATCAATCGATTGCTGCAGTGAGGGATCTATCTACTGCACCGAATGCGCAATTGAATTGAAAAAGCCTGTAGATCAAATACTATAAGAGATGAAGCACTCGCACAGCGTTTTCTAAACTACATTTCTTACTGTATGTCAGGAAAGATCCAATTTTGTGATATCATCAGTGATAAATGATAAAATGATGATATCAATGACAACGACAGATAAGAATGGCTTAAATTCATGCGGTCGATTCCCACGTTCATCTTCCATGTAGGTGCAGAATTTCAGCCCAAGCTTCGGCGTGAAGCGAGTTGAAGCAAAAATGCCATTTTAGGTAAGAATTGGCAGCAGTGGCATGTGCCGATGAGAAATCGATCGATTGCTGGAGCGAGGGATCTACCAATTGCACCGAGCAATAGAACTAGAAAAGCCTGTAGATCAGTTATAATTAGAGAAAGAGCGATAGAAATTCACTCAGCGTTTCCTACAGTACTTTTCTTACCATATGCCAAAAATGATCCAAAAATGTAATATTATCAGTGATAAATGATAAAATACTTATAGTGAGTAATAAGGGTGAATAAAAACTGCCCAATCATTCGCGATAGATTTCGATAATGAGAACTTTGTACCAGAACCTGCTAATCGCGATTAACGCTGTGATAAATGTTCACAAAAGCCTTAACATAAAAAACAACAAGGTATCATTGTATGTTTAGCCCGTCACCACGAATTACGGACATACTGTATATCAAAAGATTCGTCTCATCAAGCTGAAGCCGTATCTTCTTGCAGATTTCATATAAAATTGTTTTAAAAGAAGTTATAGCTAAATCCCGCTTATCCCGCAAATCCCGCGAATCCCGCAAATCCCATGAAGTCGCGAATCCCGCAAATCCCGCGAATCCCGACAATCCCGCAGTTTTGGACAAATTCTACCGCTGCAACTGTAAGTGGTCTTTAAGTTGGTGGGAGCATACTAATAGGCGGAGCCAGTTCATTTTTCTTCTGGAAAGCGGTTTGGAGTTTTCCTCAGCATTTGGACGATTGCTTGGCTGCAACGCTAGTCCATGTCTTTTTCTATCTATATCACTGACATGGTTACCTTTCACTGTCCAAACTCATTAAAGCTTGTTTGAGTTGTAACATTTTTAGGTGGTCTGGGAATTACAATTCCCAGATTAGAGAACTTGCGATGGGTCATTGCGCTTTCTTGGCGATCTGCTTCATGAGTTGAATTGAGGAGCCATTACTAACACGCTTGCCATTAATGTAGTGTCGATGACTGCTCCGTATCACCTCAACACAGTCCAAAATGGACAAATTCTTTAGACTATTGAATCATCAGTTCCGGTACATAAAGCTTACATGACAAACCCCGCACAGTGGCTGGCTTTCCTTTCTGAACACCCATGTAAACTTATCTGATGGTACGGTTTGAACCAAATGTTACAGAAAGGAAAGCTTCAAAAAGATCCTTGTCCACGCAACGTCAGCGCATCCTACAGCTCCAAAGCGTACCGTAATCCATAACATGTACAAAACCGCTGCTGTAGTCTGTAGGGGCGAGAAGCGATTAGAGTCACTACCACTAGCACGCACAATGGCTCGCAGCAATGAATACGCAGTCATGAAAAGACCATCTAGATGCCTAAGCGAATCTATGCAAAGCAACAATAACAAAATTTCTCTTTGCATACCTTTTGTATCCAATAGATTTAGTGAAGCCATTAAACGATGCATAGCACGAGCGCAGTTACAGAACAAAGTAATGCCGGTCAACATTCCTAGCAATACTGTCAGAAAACGGTTGATTAGAAATAGATTGTATGATACGATTATATCTGAAAGCTGCATCGTTTGCCCATACGGGAACTTAGGTGACTGTGCAAAGGAGGGTAGGTATTGTTTACCAACTAGATTGTGGAACAACTTGTATAGGAGAGACCGGAAGGATACTAAGTTTTAGAATGAAGGAACATCTGGCCAGCAAAAAGCGGGTACAGTGACATCACCATTGGGAAGGCATAGACTCGAGACACATAAAGGTGTCGATTTTGATGTAAAATGCACGATATTAGCGTATGAGACCGAAACTTCGGCAAGAAAGACATTAGAGGCAGCATGCATATCCCCCCGGAAATCCGAGGATGAATAAAAAAATTGAATGTTTGACAATGACCAGTGACCCTTTCAGGCCTCCGAAGAAGACGATACTTGTCGAAACGTTAGGCAGTAAATGTCCACCATAAAAACTTCTCTGGCACAAAATCAAAATCACAATGTCCAAATTTGCTTTTTAATGAAGACACTTTACCCATCATATTGTCTTTTCAATAAAAGACTTACTTTACGGCAGAAATAGTCTCATTTTTCAGGAATCGTTAGCCTTCCAAACTAGACCTCGATTTGAGATGCGATTTGTTATTTGCCCTAATTGTATAAAGCCACATGAGTTTTGCCCAATGCCTCTTGCTACTACCGAAAGCTGTGGTATGATTTATATTACCTCATTTTGCTCATGGGTAATGTGTTTTTTCAGTGTTCAATAGTTGCTCATGCTCAAAGTGTCACTTTGCTTTTTGCTATCTTTGCGAATGGGAGCCACACTGGCCCATGAGCTGCGAGCAGTTTGAGCGATGGTCTTCGAAATGGGACACTCAGCGTGAGTAACATTTCCTACGCTGAAATGTTAGAGGTATTTGACAATATAAAAATTCAGATGTTTACGAGGATTACCACATAGATGGTGAACAAGTGCGACTATGCTGCGTTTGCGAAGAGATCTACACTGTAGGAATCACTTGCATAAACTTGCTGTCACCCTTGACATTCGTAATTTAGGTGCCAAAAAGGGCGATAGGTAGAAGCTGTCCCAAGGAGTGTTGTAGACATCAGTGGATGCCACCATTCGCGCAGTTGCATGACCACACCTCTGATACTGATTATAATTGGTCTTCTTTATACATAAGATCGTATAAGCATCTAAATGCTCTGGGTATAAAAATAGAAAACTGCAAAATTTGTGTAGGTTTTCTCCTCTTCTATCTGGCTAAGACTAACAAAATTATGAGGTTTTTAAGGGTCATGAAATCTTGCCAGAATCAGTTGAGATTAAACCAGTTATGAATAGAAAGGTTGCCGAGGTAAGTGGGCTTTGTATTTTTATTTTTAGCCAAGAACACAACTATCTAGATATGCGCTTATGCGAGGAGGCAGAGATTTTTGCAAAACAGCGACTTCGAGAAATTTGTTTTAACTTCCATCACGAAAAACAAGGAGAAGTTCAAGGATCTGAGAAAAACGGTGCCTTTTTAGTTCAAAAAATTGCTTAGTTCTAAAAACGACTTTTTAGGTACTTTATCTTATTGAATTCTGTACTGGTTGGATTTATGTAGCTAAACCCGCTAATTGGAGGCACTTAAGTTTGAAGATATCAAACCTCAATAATAATCTCCAGTTTATCGAGCAGCAACTTCCTTTGCCAAGGTGATTATCGTGCACGTGTGTCTCTATGAATGACCCAGAAAGCCTGCTTTTAGGGAAGATTTTGTCAAGCAAGTTGGTAAACTCGAAGAGGAGACCGAAAACCTTATAAAACTTGTTCGGAAAAGTTTGAACCAAAGGCAGGTCTGAAAATATGCGCTTTCAAGTCCAAAAGATGCCCAGATTATGACTTAATTTGTCATAATTTTATACGTAGTTGTAAAAATTAGCAGGTGGACCTCTTGCTCTTGTTCTGGACAAAAAAACGTAACTACGTTCAGGGACGGTCTTGATGCTGGTTCAAGGACAAAATGCCATGCAAGTCGAAATTTGAAGAACAAATCCACCTACTAGTGGTTTTTCAAGGAAAGTTGCAGAAAAAGTTTAAACATCGCGGGTGATAGTAAAATTTGAAATTATTTTGAGAAGCTTACTATGGTTTGTTAGTTGTAGTGAAGTGTAGGTCGTACACATTGTAAGATTACTAAAATAAACTAACTGCAGGTGATAAATTATAGTGGACGTTAGCTTTTTTATAGAATTCATTCCTATTAGGAGCCATCTACAAATTTTATCGTTGGTATGTCACTTCATCCTTTGTACATGTTTGTATTTGATGTATGATATGTATTTTATCCCTCAAGAGGAGGAACGAAATGGAGGTAGGCATCGAGATTTTCATTGACAAAGTTTGTTTTACTGTACTCACCTTGCATTTCATAAAAAAAAAAAAAAAAAAAAAAAAAAAAAAAAAAAAACTTAGCACCGTCTAACTTATACGTTTTAGTACATTTACAATTGAATTTTGATTGTTATAAATTTTTTGAGCTGATTGTTCACGTATGCGATTTGGAGGGCTTGCACAACCCTTTTTATCTCCGAAATAATCAGTTTTTTTACTCCCTGTCGACATTAGTTTTAGAAGATCTTGTGGATATTGAGCTTATTTAGTTACCACGCGGGGTTCGTTAGTGCTACCTCAACTTGGGTTGAGGTAGCATTAACCTAATTAACGCTTATTCAAAATCGAAACAATAGTTATTCGACGCAGAATTATGAGAGTGATGTCCCAAGACTTGTCAACCCTCAAAGTGCTTCTCAGAATACTATCAGGAATTAGCAAAAAATAATGAGTGTTCTTCTATTAGAACAACTTTTTTCAATAAAATCTTCTTTGGAAAAGCCTTACATTATCGAAAAGCTCTTTTCATGCACCATTTTATGATGACTAAAATGGGTTTTTTTATTTCATTTATCTATAGAGCTTCAAACATGAGCATTTCTGTTCTGGCCAGATTGGCGCAATGACGGCGCTTCTTTTTGAAACCTCAGCTGCTCCCTACAAAGGAAACTGTCTACATTACGCACACTGTACATTTTCTTGCGATAATAATAAGCCTGGTATACCGGCTCGTTAAGAAGGGTAGTCATTTCAATCGTCCTATGGCCCATAAATTTTTTGAAGAAGTCGATCGCCAAAGCGCTCATTACTGTGAGCGTAAGGGTAGGCCTCCTCTTGAAAGTTTTCGCAAAGCGTTTAGCTGATCAGTACGCAACAAACCAAAATTCAAAACTCACAATTTGAAGCTTATTTAAAAATGTTGAAAAAAGCTGAGAATATCAAAATTCTTTGTCCAAGCCTTTTTCTTCTTTAATATTATGTGTTCGCTACTACAAGATAGGCTAAAAGAATACGAGTAAAAGATTGCGAGCATAAGTTCTTGTTTGTCCCTAGCAACACATTATGTGCACGCACGACACCAGTGTGTATGGCGCGTGTTTTTTGAGTTTGAGCTAGAAGATTTAAGTATCTTCAGTGTCCCTGCAGTGCTGCCGACTTTACGAAAACTTGCTCTTGAACAAACTGCAAAAACCAATAATGCCGGCAGAGCGCAAATGAGTTTCTGTGCTCTCTCGCAACTCGTTCACCGTGAATATTTTGCACCTAGGGTGAATTTACCGTCGGAACTCTAGGGGTGATGCATAATTTTTGCACCAAAATTTTTAAAATTCTGTTGCTTTCTCCAGCTTCCACAAAACCTTTTGGTTTAACAGTTGATAGAAAAGTGAATCTTACGATTTCAGAATATGCTTGAGCAAAATTTCTTGAAGACATATGGCAAGGATATAAGCTTTTTAAGAAAGATACTTAAAAGTAATTTTCGGTTTGTTGCTTGAATCGCTAAAACGTCTATTAAAATCTAAATTTACTTTTAGTCTTGATTTTATAACCTACTCTTGTGGGCTAAGAAAAGTTGGTAGTGATTGGATGTCTCTAGGAACAGCTATAAACTTCGTATTTCTAATGCGATCATTGATTCTTCATTGATTTTCTGAAATGTACTATGAAATAGCACTCTGATATAGAATGACAGTCAAAAAGTTGCAGAGGAAGGAAGAGCCTTCCCTTTTTCATCGCTCATTTTCGGATGGAAAACAAAGATGGAAAAATGACTGAATTGCATAAGATGATAGAGCTTTTCAAGAGCTACAACCCGCACGTTGTGCTTTTTGAAAAATATTAGGTCGGTGCAAAAGTTTTGTCAGTTTTTTTCAATCCATCGGCAAACACGCTAGAATGAAGATAAACAAGCGCTCTAAAATGTATCCGATGCAGAATTTCTTCCTCTTTCCAGCTGCTAAACTCCCTCTGTGCTTCGTTGCGAGAATGACGAGACATTATTTTTGCTGGAAATAACAACCACTCGTTTTCAATATGTGCAATTTTCGCTAATTTTCAAAATTTTTGTATGAGACTTTCGGAGGAGCGTTGATAGCCAGCAGATAGGGCTAAACTTTTGCCAACTTAGGCAATTTTTTCTTTTTATCAGCTGCTTTTCCAGATTTTTGCTAAATTTTCTAAAAGTCTTGTGTTTCGAAAAAATTGCATAACCTGTTATTGCACTAAACCTGCGAAATCTACAGAATACTGAGGTTTCAACACTCGATTACTACCGCTACCGTTTCAAAGTAAATAAGCGGTTTTTGCTTCAAATTATGAAGATTTTGAAACATAGGTTATTTCAGTGCGCACTCCTAAAATTGAAGTATTGCAATTTTCTCCACAAATTTCGCCTGTCTCGGCAAAGAATTCAAGTATAAGAAGGAGGGAAAAAGTTGCATCGAATGGTGGCTGAAGTGTTTGTCATTTTATGTTCTATCAGATTAAAATAGGCTGAATGTAAAATTTGGTCACTTCAGAAAATAAATCGTAGAAATTCTGAAAGACAAACCGTAGGGCTACAAAAAATTGCTTCTGTTGGCAAAAGGTTTGCCCTATCTGGTGGTTATTAGTGCTCCTTCGAAAATCTCATACAAAAACTTTGAAAATTAGTGCAAGGTGGACATGATAAAAACGAGTGGTTGTAATTTCCGACGAACATCTCGTCATTTTAACGAAACACAACGGGAGTTTAGCACCTGGAAAGAGGAAGAAATTCTGCATTGATGAAGCGTTTGTTTATCTTCATTCTAGCGTGTTTGCCGATGGATTGAAAAAACTGACAAAACTTTTGCACCGACCTAATATGCATTCTAAAAATTTTATAAGTCTTTTTCTCAAAATCCGAGAATGGCCGCGTCACAATGTCGCGGACAATAATTCTTCGAACGCGAAAATTTTCCTTTAGGTCTTCGTTTGGAGCAAAAACAGAATTTTTCTTGACAGATATGCACTCTATATTATAGAGCTAATCGAGGACAATAATCTGGTAGTGGTTACTTCCAAAACCAAGCTTGAATTTTATTTTGCTTTTTTCCAAAAAACAACTTCTAATTACCTTTTTCAAGCCAAATTTTTTTCACATGGAAACCTATTCAAAACATCCTAACAAAGCCGTTCAGATAAAATGGATGCTCTTTGCCATCCTCTATGCATCAGACGTGTGCTGGTGAGTTTCTTTGCTAAGAATGGCTCTTGACAGTGCGTGCACATGACCCCACCTGCACCTCACCACTGACTTGCACCGCTTTGCAGGCTTGTAGCTCGGACAGCAGTCAATCTTCGAGCCTGCCAGTAGGCTCATTCGAAAGACCATGATTTCGTCGATGCTATGGCTTGCAAATGAGTTGAGTCTGGGAAGACCCGGGGCTTTGACGGATGGGGTGGAAAAGCGCAGCCTTAAAGGTAACTGGAGTGAAAGCTCTTATCAACATCAGAGCAGTCTTATAGCTTCGAAATGGATCTATTACAAGAAAACTGACAGTTTAAACCTTTAGAATGGACCTGGTAGCGAAAGCAGCTCTGTTCAAACTTAGCTGAAAAAACCTTATAGCATTGGGGCTGCGCTTTCTCACCCCATCCGTCAAATCTCCGGGTCTTCCCAGACTCAACTCATTTGCAAGCCATAGCATCGACGAAATCATGCTCTTTCGAATGAGCCTACTTGCAGGCTCGTGGAATGACTGCCGGCTGAGCTACAAGCCTGCAAAGCGGTGCAAGTCAGTGGTGAGGTGCAGGTGGGGTCATGTGCACGCACTGTCAAGAGCCATTTTCAGCAAAGAAACCCACCAGCACACGTCTGATGCACAGAGGATGGCAAAGAGCATCCATTTTATCTGAACGGCTTTGTTAGGATGTTTTGAATAGTTTTCCATGTGAAGAAATTTGGCTTGAAAGGTAATTAGAAGTAATTTTCTGGAAAAAAGCAAACTAAAATTC